ATGTATTTTCTATAACTATAACTATAACTATAACTATAACTATAACTATAACTATAACTATAACTATAACTATAACTATAACTATAACTATAACTATAACTATAACTATAACTATAACTATAACTATAACTATAACTATAACTATAACTATAACTATAACTATAACTATAACTATAACTATAACTATAACTATAACTATAACTATAACTATAACTATAACTATAACTATAACTATAACTATAACTATAACTATAACTATAACTATAACTATAACTATAACTATAACTATAACTATAACTATAACTATAACTATAACTATAACTAAAACTATAACTATAACTATAACTATATAGAACTATTTTCTATAACTCTAAAAACACCAAAGTTGTACCATTTGCGATCAATCAGTTGCTATCAATATGGCAGTAATAAGATATAGTCGGCCGATCCCGGCCAATTCTGTTGGCCAATTCATCCGATCGAAAAGACTCTACTTTCAACTTTCAACTCATTTTTACAGATTCTATTTTTGGCCAACTAATCTATTCTTACGATTCGATATTTGCGATATATATCCTATCCGGTATGGTATATCAAGGTACTCCGCCCGAAATGAGCAAAAAAATTTGTCTAGTTTGTCCCCTCCCCCTCCCCTCCGAAATGATCAAAAAATTTGTCTAGTTTGGCCCCCCCCCCATTCACGGTTTTAAAAATCGATTTTTTTTTTAATTTAATTCGAACTTATAACTATTCAAGAATGTTCCCTAAAAAATTTCAAGTAAAAATTTCAAAAACTCTTGAAGATATAGCCGATTTATGGTGGAAGCCTCAGGCGAAGGCGAGAGCCGTCTCAAAACTTTAAACGCGTTTTTCTCGAAACAATGTTTTTACGACTGGCGCATGAGGTTACTCAAGAACTATTAAACCAATCGGTTCCAAATTTTAACACGTTGTTCTATACATATATAGCTCTCGTATGAACTAGGATAAATCGGTGAAGATCTTCTTTACTTTTCAAGTCGATTTGTGGCTGAAAAAAATGGAAATTTTCAAAAAAAAAATTTCAAAGGTCCGCCATTTTGTTAATTTTTGAGCGAAGTTAATAATCCTAGTTCATACCAGAGCCAAACATGTACTAATATATGTAAGCACAGTTACAACCCTAAAAAATAATTTATGTTCATTTGCCAGCCCATTGAAAATCGTCAAAATTTAAAATCGAGAATGGGGGGGTCCCCTTAACTAAAATTAAAACAAAAAAATGGCATAGTTTGTTAATGCAATGTAAGTTGGCGTCGTAGCATCGTAGCTTCCACGCTGCGTCTGACCCACATTGGGCGGCGGCGTGGTCTGCGTCTGCGCCACATTGGGCGGCAGCAATGTTATCTGGCAGGGAGTATAAACTCCAAACCTGGCAGCAGGTATAAAATGCGATTAATACAGAATGGATGAAAAAAACATAACTACTCCAGGTGGCACCCAAAATAGTTTGAAATCCACCCGCGGAAACCTCCGCGGCCAGAGCAGGGAGGTCCTAACTTATGTTCAAAAAAAAAACTGCTACACCGGCGGTGCACTTTGCCGGTGTCCCAGCATTAGCTACAAGTGAGACTCTAAAGGAGGTTCAGGCGTTCGGGCGGGGAAATAAAATGAAAAGAACGCCTCCCAAGCTGATGGCGAGCGAACACACCCCGAAGAGGCATCGGGACGAGCTATCTCCGTCAAGTAATTCCCAACCAGGGAAAAATAACAAAACTCCCATAGACAAGATGGGCGCGATCCTGGAGGACTTTCTCGCAAAGGTGAACAACCAAAAGGTAAGAAGCATCAACCAGGCAATGAAGAACACTTTCGCGAGGTTGAAGGAGGGGTTGAGGGAATAGCTCCTCACAACCCAAATCAGGAGAGAAGGGCTATGTGCAAAGCAGCCGGGAAGCGCCGGGCAACAACAGTTCACGCGTCTAGGAAGCGACATAGACCACACCGGAGCGAGCCTTGTACAGCAAAGTAGCAACGACGAAACGCCCACCGGTGATGCCACCCCCTTATAGGGCAAACCAAATAGCTGGAAAAATTCTGGAACACGTTAAGCAAAGACATCCCAAGAAGAGCCGCCCGACGTGCTCATCATAACGGGAAATGCAGGCAAGATGGTAAAATAAACGAGGTCAGCCAAAGCGTTAAATCAGGTGCACGGCAAAAGGCGATCTACTGCTGGAACTGGCGGCAGCTAAAAAGGAAAACGCTCTCAAGCTGCGGCAGACGCTTTCCCAGGTGCTAGGCGTGGCAGCGAGCGTGGAGATCCGCGACCCGGATGACCTAAGCACTAAGGACGAAATAGAGGCAGCTTTCACAGCTCGAATGAGCGGTAAGGAGGAGGCTATCAGGGTGAAGTCCCTCCGCCCAGGCTTTTCTGGAACCCAGGTCGTCATTTTGGGAGTGGGCTCAAACCTCGCAGCCAAGATTCTGTCCGAGGAGAGGATCAGAATAGAATGGAACAAAGAAGAGAACGAGGTTCATACAGATTAGCCTCAACCACTGCGAAGTAACTCAGCCTACTCGAGCAGGTCTTAAGGGAGAAGCGGAAAGATATAGCTCTAATCCAGTGGGGGGCAAAACTAACACATTTTTAAAATTTTAGTGTATGCGTAGCAGAGAAAAACAATGAGAGCAGAGAATTCACTGAGCGAAAAAACGTATTTTTTTATTTCATTTTTCGTTAATTCAAAAGTTGGAATGGGCACTAAAATTGAGTATTTTATTTTAAAAAAAGCTTTGCTAGCAACATTTCTTAAAAAAATAAAAAACTACGCTGCCCTATCTATATTCTCCATGAAGGAAAGTTTTTCCAATCCAATTTCTGAGAAAATTTCCAAAATTTTGGAAATTTTCTCAGTGGAAAAATTTTTATTTTTTAGTTTGGGCTGTCAAATGAATCAAAATGAGAGCAAATGAGAGAGCTTCTAAAAAAAATTTGAGAGTGCTCACACTGTCAGTGTGCCGGCAGCGCTGCGGCAGAATTTCCTACCCTATACTCGCGTGCTATGTAAAATGAGAGTTTGCCCACCACTGCTCTAATCAGAGAGTCTATAAGAAAGGTGAGACGCAAATCTATATTCGGAGGCGGAGTCCATCACGACAATATCTCTGCTGAACACCGCTCTGCTAGCCCTGCCGAACACCGGCCCCCAAAACACGCTTAGCAGGGCGGGGTACGGCTCAATCGTGGACCTTTCCTTCTGCAACAGCGGGCTGGAAGACAAAGTGGTCCTTCAGTGAGGACTATACTGCGAGAGTGTCTACGAACCAGTAGGCTGCATCAAAGAGCCAGAGGAAGGCCGGACTTCGAACAAAAAGAGTGGACTTTGCTGTAAAGAGGAAGATCCTGAAGAAAATGATAAAGGAGGAAAAAACGAGGTGCAGCCTTAAGATGTGCGACGCAGCCTAGCAAGATCCGTGGGGATCGGCCTACATATTGAAATTGACGGACCCCAGCAACGCAGTGCTTTTGTGATGGACGAGGATGCGTATGATCGGGTGATTACCCATAAACTTTTGTCAAATCAAACAACTGTCGATTACTGTCTGTCTAGTGCTCGAAATTACCTAGCTTCAAGCTTCTATATTCAAAAATTCTCAAGTTGGTATTTTTATCAAATGTCATTTCCGATCTTTCAGTTATATGTTAAATAGATATTAAAGTCGGCCGATCGTTTTGAAATTTTGTAGGTCGGCTCAATTAACCAAAAATATAATCTGTACGAAGTTCCATCGTTTTTATCAAAACATATTAAAAACACGAAAATTGGGTAGTTTCCTATTCAGATATGGATATAGCTATATATCGATAGGGTCTGCAAGGGTATAAAAACAAGCACATGATTAGTTATTGCGATTCGCTCGCAGTCGCTTAACATTGTTAAACAAAAAAAAAATTGACCGGAAATTATTTAAATTTCTCTTGCATTTTAAACTTCCCTAGACCTTCAAGAACATTTTAAGGCTAAAATAAGAGACATCCGTTCAGCCGTTCTCGAGTTTTTGCTACCCGCACAAAAAGATATTAGATTTTAGTTTTAAATGTACCTTCTGCATTCAATGTGTCTATTCCAGGTTTGTCGACTATTGATCCGTAGGATGGTTTGTTTGCTCTACCAACGTTGTTAGTAGTTTAACATTTTTACAATTATCTTCCTTTGCGATTTACAATACGTGATCCCCAGAGCGTAATTTGGCATTGTAGCCTCGTTTGGAGCTACGATCCCCAAACGTTTTCAAATTTCTTTGCAGAAAATTGTTTTTACGCAGTCACTTTGGGAGGAATTTTGTTAACTGCGATTATAAACAATTATTTTTATACCCTTGCAGAGGGTATTATAATTTTGGCCAAAAGTATACAACACAGTAAAGGAGATATATTCTTGATCAGGATCAGTCATCATTGTTATGGAGTAACGTGAAAACATTTTCCGATCAAAGTGCTGCACAATTTTTAAAACGATTGTCCGCTGTTGGAAATGGAAAAGTCCCAGTTTATGCCGGATCTTATTTAATTACTCTTTCCAACAACTTTTGCCGATTTGTAGACTCTCAATTAGCTCTTATTGAAAATGTTTTCCCAAACATTAGTGAGAATTATCAGAATTATGCTTGGTTAAGTCAACGAGCAATTCTTGCCGCAAAGAATAATGATGCACACGCACTGAATTGAATAAAATTGTAAGGTAAATCTAAAGCAAATTCTAAACGCCGCCTACCACGCAATCATTAGCATAAAATTGCGATATACGCAATCTTAGAACACATACGATTAAATATAAGGTCAAGATTCATATGATTCTACTCGTATAAACCTATGATATTTTTTTGCGGAAACTAAGACTGAGTCAAAGCATTTTTATGTCTTGAGTCAAAGCTTTCCTATATTAGTTAAAATGACGCAATTTTTTACCGTTATACATATTTAGTTATACTTATAGTATTAAAATTAATAAACGTACCAGTTCTCTGTTGACCTTTAATTTTATACTTTTTTAAAGCTAATCCTTTTTGTCCATCTTTGATTCGACGTCTTTGGTAAATTATGTCTCTATACCATTGAGCCAAATAAAAGTGTCGAGCGTAGTCCCAAATTAAATTTTCTTCTTCCGCATTGACAGCAAGGAAGTCGAGAAGAATTTTTTGTAAGAACTCCGTTCGTTGTTCTTCTGGGGGCCATTTATAAACGAGCTGTAAATTAAACTTATTTCAAAATCATATACTTATGTTTCGATTATGTTATACTTACGTCTTGGCATGGCAAGTCTCCCTCTTTTTCTTGTTCTAATTTTATTGATTTGATCATAGAATCAATTATGTTAACTTTACATCTTGACTCAACCGTGTCTTTACGTAATCGAGCAGCAACAATGCCTAAGTAATCTAGTGAAACTAAGCGAATGCTTTGTTCTATACTTTTGTCTGAAACGTAGCGTACAAGCATAGTTCCCAAAAGCGATAATAATAATTCGGAAGCTGGCCATTCAGGCTTATTAGCGGTAGTCAGTAAATCATGAATAAAATTTTCAAAAAGCGGCCGAAAATCAGTTTCGTTTGTTCGAGACTTACATTTATTTAAAAAAGTAGTCAAAAAATTTCCGCCAATGCTAACCGCAACGTCATATTTTTTTAATACAAAAATATCCTTATTTGGTTGTACCACTTTTGTAGCACCACTTCCCAAATCATTGTCGTTTTCATTAAGCGTATTATTAGATTTAGCGCTATGACAAAGGGAGTCTGGTAATATAGTTGCGCATTGTATCAATTGAAGCACAAGTGCTGTAACCATTTGAATATTTCCTCCATTATTTGTAAGTTTATAGGGGCGGAGGTTTTTTTTTGATGAAGGTAATCTATCAATGGATGACAATATGTCACCTAATATACTGTTCCTTATTTTGTCGTATCTTTCCTTTCGAAAAATCTGCAATAAAATAAAATTACAATAAAATTTTTAAATGTTTGTTTATTTATGTATATACTAGTAGTTAAGGATAATCCTCCCTTAGTTTCCTGACCCTAGATCAGGGCTAACCTCGAGAATAATATGGCATAATGGAATAACTTTAAATCTTAGCTCGCAAATAACTTTTAGCCGATTGCTGGGGTCTCAAAATAAGTGTTGTTCTATAAGTCTTTGATCAAAAAATCTGAGAGCTCTTGGCTCTCGCTCAAATGACGAGCAATATTTTTTGTTCCAATTTGCTCTGTTCTTTCCACGACCATTTGACTCTGTGAGACTATTCAAAAAGTCTTTTTCGCATGTATGTGTGTATGTGAATGTTAGTGAGTCTTGTTTCATTTGCCTTTATGACATTTGGATATTCAGAATATATTCGGGATATTCGTTTGGAAATAATTAAAACGAAAATGGGACGGGAAATGAACAAAATTAGAACATTGACAAAAGGTATTGTCGTTTACCATTAAACTGCTACATTTTTATACAAATGTAAGGCTTAAATCGCCAAACTTGAGTGCGCTTGAACATGTAGTCTTGGCCATCCCAGTCTTGGCTACTCAAGTATCTGTTGAGAGAGCATGTTTAGCTTTACAATTTATTTTAAGCGAACGACGGAGTTCAATAAATACCCAAAACCCTTACTCTTTATTGTTAGGCTGAACTTTAAGTAAATACTTCGGTCAATCGGTCTTAATCAATCTTTTAATGAGGGTCTCTGTGCGAACGTCAATCATTTCTCTCAGTGAGCGATGTTCAGTAGACGAGCATTTTACGAATCTCTCAACGTAAAACACTCAACCGAAAACCAAAATGTAAAGAAAGTAAGTCTCCTGCTCTAAGAAAGATTGATTGTCGAACTTTTTTCGGTTGTTATCTTAAACTGAACAGAAACAAAAAGGTTAACAGTCATTTGCGAGCTATGGTCATGAGGAATATTTGTGTTACAAAAATGTTTACTTTTGAACGTATCGAGTTTATAGGACAAAATCTTTAGAGCCCATAGAGGCGGTTTTGGGAAAGCAGGCCAAACAAAATTTTAGCAGTCAATATTTTTGTTAAAATAAATAAAGGTTCAAAACTCAAATAAAATAAAAATTCAAACCAATGTTATTTAACCCTCTAGTGCCAAAATTTTCTTTTTCAAGAAAAAAATTATTTTTGGATTCACTATGTATCAAAAGTAAATGTTTGTTTTAGGAAAAATTGTATTTTTGCTCGGATCGAGTTTTACATGACTATATCCTTGGGCCGCCTAGAGGCGGCTTTGGGAAGATAGGCCAACAAAAAATGAGGTTTTACATGTTTTATTGTAAATTATAGTTTTTTATGGTTTTGGTTTTTGGTTTTTTTTTTTATAAAAATCTGCGAAATCTGAAATTTTTCTCGTATTTTTTCAAAGCGATTTCTTGACATTGTGTTTTGTATTGTTCTAAATGCGTACTCCCCCCAATATGAACGAACATTTCGGTAGCGAAAAACTGACATCAAAAAAAAAAATATGCCAATAATTTTTCGAATTTCTAAATTTGTTGTAGAAAACAGAAAAAAAAATATTTAAATAAAAATTCCTTTTTTAATTCAAAAAGTTACACAAATTACATGACACCAATGTGCATCGAACAGAAAAAAGTGTTGAATTGACTGAATTGACTTTTTCGGTCAATCAGTCTTTTAAGGGGTTATATACCTTCTTTGTCGAAGAAAAAGAGGAAAGTTCGGATTTTTTTTTAGGTATGTAGCAATTATTTAATTACACGGATGTTTTAATTTTTTCATAGAACGCTTTATTAACAATGTTTGTGCAAAATTTGGTGGAAAAATATTAAATAGTTTTTAAAGGGTGGCTGTTTCCCTTAGAGGCTTTCTTTTTTTTAGAGCCTTGCGGTGACAGTTCCCCAGGTCAAACAGGTCAACTGAAACCATAAAAGTAAAAAAATTTCATTAGTTTAGTGTAATTCCTTGTGCTTGAACGATCGGATTTAAAATTTTTATTTTTTTTATGCATACGGGAACGTTTTATGCTAAAAATGAAATGAAAAAAAAATGAAATTTGGTCTCTAAAAATTTTACTAAAAAATACATTTCGGCGAAAAAAAAGTTTGTGCGTGAAAAGTCGATTGTTCAAGCACAGAAGAATTTCATTACGAACATTTAAAAAAAATTTGAAGTAAATCGGTTCAGTAGTTTTCCGCCAATCCATGTCACCGCAAAGTCATTTTTCAAGAAACACCATTTCGAGATATTCGCGTTTAAAGTTTCAAGTTCAGTGCAAGGCCGCGACAAGGCGCGCGGTTAGGAGCGCTGTAACTTTTTTTCTACAGCTCCAATCTCTATGAAAATTTGGGAAAATATTCTCAAGGAGTTGTTCTTCAAGATAAAGCAATAAAAAAATTTTGAATTTTTTGAAAATAAAAAAGGTATATAACCCCTTAAGGAGACCCCCCCAATTCTCCATTTCAAATTTTGACGATTTTCAATGGGCTGGCAAATGAACATAAATTACATAGTGCGACAGTGATTTGCGCATGTGATTTCCGCTCACTGGAACATCTGAAACCAAAAATTCCAACAGAATTTGAAAGAGTATGGTACATGTTTGGCTCTGGTATGAACTAGGATTATTAATTTTGCACAAAAAATAACAAAATGGCGGACCTTTAAAATTTTTGTTTTGAAAATGGCCTTTTTTTTAGCCACAAATCAAGTTGCAAAGTAAAAAAGATCTTCACCGATTTGATTATCCTAGTTCATACCAAGGCTATATATGTATAGAAAAACGTATTAAAATTTGGAACCGATTGGATTAGGTTAATCCAATCCAATTAATAGGTTTTGAGTAACCTCATGCGCCAGTCGTAAAAACAATGTTTCGAGAAAAACGCGTTTAAAGTTTTGAGACGGCTCTGGTCGTCGCCTGACGCTTCCACCATAAATCGGCTATATCTTCAAGAGTTTTTGAAATTTTCACTTGATTTTTTTAAACCGAGAATGGGGGGGTCCCCTTAATAAGGATCTCTGTGCAAACGTCAATCATTTCTCTCAGTGAGCGATGTTCAGTAGGCGAGCATTTTACGAATCTCTCAACGTAAAACACTCAACCGAAACCCAAAATCAAAAGAAAATAAGTCTCCTCTGAGAGAGGGCTTATTGTCAAAATTTTTTTCGGTTGTTCTCATAAACTGAACAAAAGAAAAAAAAAGGGTAACAGTTATTTGCGAGCTATGTTATGAATTTGAATTTGTTGAATTATATTGAATTTGTTAATTATGTAGTTATCTAAATCTAGTATGATACAGCTTAGGACGGAGCGGGAGCGAAAGCTCATATTCGCTCTTGTGGGAATTCGCCCCGCTTCGCCGCAATAGATAATTTGGGCAAGATTAAGAGATTGGAGCAAGATTAGATTAGATTAGAGCAAAGATCGATTTATAACGTTGAAGAGGCAGCATCGTTCTTATATCTCGTTTGTATTTAGCAGCCACTATTTTTTTTTATATTTTTTTTATTGTTTTGTGAGAGGAAAAATAATATCGTTAAACTCCTTGTTATGTCCAAAACATGAAGAGCTGCCATCACAGTGTGCTTAATAGATCGGACAAGCCACTTATAATAATAGAAGCTTCCAATTCGCAAAACTCTTTGGCAAAGATAAGACAAAAATGGGACGTTAAAGCAAATTTGACAACCTTGCGTCGTATCATCGACAATGCTCCACGCCTGAAGAGACTAACAATCAAGAAACAGCCACCTCTTAACCCGGTTCGGTTCGCACACATGTGACCTGGACATTCGAGTGGCACCGTTTCGTCTTTTTAGACAAAAAAAGTTTTATTTGGAAGCCCGATGGCTGCAGCTACTATTTTCATGATCTTCGAAAAGAGCCACACCATGTTGTTAAGTTGCAGAGCAGTGCTGGAGGTATTATGGTGTAGGGGGCCATTTGTTATTATGGCACCTGTTAGCTTAAATTGGTTACAACTACTATGAATGCATTGTGCTATAATTTCTAATATATTTTACTTTAAATCACATAATAAATTTAAAACAGTTGGAAAATTCTATAATGATTTTTAGGTAAAGATTCCAATTTATGTGGGGCAAGCCTCATAAAGACTCAACAATTTGTTACTTATTGTTTAACAATTTTTTCGGATACGCAAACTAGTCTCTCAGTTTTAAAGCTATCGACTTGAAACTTTGCACACACCCTTCTTTCCTTTGCAGGCAGTATATAAATCGGAACGACCGGGGTCGGCCGACTATATCCTATTGCTGCCATATAACTGATTGATCAGAAATGGTATAACTTCAGTGTTTTTAGAGTTAGAGAGTTCAAATTTTACCTGAGAGCTATTTGGAAAAATAATTCGACATGCCTAATTTCATAAGGATTGACCGACTATAACCTATAGCTGCTATATAACTGAACGATCGGAAATGGTTTTTGGTAGAAATACCAACTTTGGTATTTTTCAAGATAGAAGCTTGGGACTTTTTTTTAGATATTTTATTGTAATTAATTGGTTTTATTATGATGTAATCACAAGGATCTGCCAACTATATCCGATGTTTGCGATATATATCCGGTTTTAACTGCAAGGGTATATCAACTTCGGCTCCGCCCAAAGTTAGCTTTTATTTCTTGTTTTTTCAGTTTTTTTTTATTTTGTATTATAATAAATTGGGTTATGTTATCATATTCTCATAACGATCGGCCAACTATATGCGATGTTTGCGATACATACCCGGTTTAAACTGCAAGGGTATATTCCTTTTTTTTTCTTTTTTGTTTTGGCATAAATTCGGAATTTTTTTGTTCGTTTTTTTAGTATTTTTGATTTAAAATTCTTAAAGTTAATACATCACACATAACAAAGAAAAAAATAATTTTTAAATGCTTCGCTGAAGCTTTTTATGAGCTTTCCAAACAACATAATCGAAACAGCTTTTTGTTTATGGGA